TGTGTGTGTGTGTGTGTGTGTGTGAAGGTCAATTAAATTATAAAACGTGAGGCAAAGCTCTCCTTTTTTAATTTAATTGGCATATTTTTAATTGAATTTATTTATTGGTCCATTTATATATTTCTGCTTTTTTTCTAGTTATGTCAGTGTCGGTCCTCCATACTGCAGATCTTGGATGAGGTAATTCAATGTCTGAATCAGGTGTGTTGGAGCAGGGAAAAATATAAAACCTGTAGGGCTGCGGCCCTCGAGGGTCTGGATTGCCCACCCCTGATTTAGACAAATGCACAAAAGTCTGACAAGTAACAACAAAAGAAATAAGCAATCTCCTGTTGATACCGGACCACAGTGCATGTGCTGCTCTGGGTGTGAGCCAATATTTCAGAGTGAATGTCTTTTACAGAGCTGTCCACAAATTTTAAACTTAAAACTACAATAAACAACCAGAAGAAAACAGCGACAAATCTGAACTCAATCAGAATAAAAGCTTTATAATTGTATATCCCAAAACAGCTGAATGCAGTTTTGATGTGAAATTGTGAGTATTCTATATGTGTCTTTTATATTTGATTTGTATGTGTAGTTCTATTAACATTAATAATAACAACCTCAAATGAATGCTTGCTCTGATTAACGTTATTTCCTGTTTACATTTTAATTTGTTGTGAATTTTAACAGCTTGTTTTTGTCCTGATTTTTCTAAATTCTTACCTTTTTGTGTGCTTTGGCCTGCTCTTCCACATATTTCTGTACTTCTTTTATGAGTTCCTGCAGTTTCCTCACAAGCTCTAAGTGACACCCAGCCAGCTTCTCTGTTGAGCTCTTGAACACATCCCACATTGGAGCAAACGTCCTGTAAGGCAAGACGGCACATACATTCTGTTATTGTGTTTACATTTACAGTACGTTCAAACGTCCTGACAGTCTGGAAAATGTCTGAACTCACCCGAGCTGAGAAAAGTTGCCAGCTGACTTGGCAAGTTTGGTCATTGACCTGGCATAGACCTCTTCTATAGTACTCCTGAAGGGAGGAAAGGTGGAACAAAACACTTAAAAAAAACTATTGACTATTGGGGGTGAGGACGAGGGTGGGATGGTGCGATTGTGTATGTTTGGGTATTTGTCAGGCTGCGGTCTGGACTGCCCCTACTGCTGGTTTATCTGGGGGCCCGCTGCTACTCGGCCCCCCGGTGGGGTGTGCGGCTGGCTGCCGGCGTGCTGGGGGTTCCCGGGGTCTGGGGCTGGTAGGGCTGGGTGCTGGAGTATGTGCCGGCCTGGCCTGGTGACTACCTGCTGGAGCTTGGGGCCTCTGGACCTGTCGGGTTTTGGCC